TCCCTTCCTGGCTGCCTTGACGCGCACCTTATCTTCGGACTGTGCGTTCAGCTTGGATAATCTTGCTGCGTTTCGCTGATTACGGCACGCTCGCATCATGATGGCCGAGGCGATCCCAGGGCGGGCGTTTAAGGTTGAACAATATCTGGCCTGGATTCGCCGGATATCGAACAATCTGCGTCATCGTGAAGCCGCGATCGCTGAAGGTTGAACGATGCACGCGGTGCCAGAACCCAACGCGCAAGGCGTTACGACGCAAGCCTGCCGTAATCCTGCTGCATCTTGCCGCCGGGGGAAGCGCGCACGCGCGAGGCGAAGTACGCGGCTGCCGCAGCCCCGCCCGGCCGCCGAACTGCGCACTGAGGATGAAGGGTCGAGACTCAGATGTGTTGTTTGACCTTTTTTGGCGCGTCCGGGGTGCCCTCGCCGCCACGGCCAGATTGCCCCTGACGTTGAGGGCACCTGACGCCCTCGTCGCCACGGCTGGATTTCCCCTGATGATCTGGCCCGGCACACGTCTGGAGAAGTCTGGGGGTCGATTTCTGACAGAGGGGGCATGGATATAACAAAAAGACGTGACGCAGCCTCTCAGAGTTTTTGGCCTCCAGGGAGAGTCGTTTTCTGGTTCCAGGGCTGTTAACGGAGTTCTCAGAAACAAAACGTGTCCCCAGAGAGGTCGGGAGGTCTGGGGATTTTTAGTTGCAAAATCACGATTTCTGATGTCTTGGGATTGTCCCCGCCGCTGCGGCACGGTCGAGAGCCAATGCGGATTGTATGCATACGTGATGGCGTTCATCCACGTGGCTCTACATTGATTCTGGGTCTTGTGTCGAGCCATGACTATTGTCGGTTTCGTCGCCGACCCCTCTCCACACATGATCTGCATGCCAGCCCCTCGAGATAAGCAGTCGTAGAGTACAGTTCAGAACAATATACACTGTTCAGGCCGCAAGTTTTGCTACGTTGGTTTCTTGATTGCGATGTAAGTATTGTTAGTTAGTACGTGAGGATCGAATGACAGTACAGTTGCGTTGCCCCCGCTTGTGTCTGCCACCGCGCATGTGGAAGCTCTCCGGCAACGCTGTAGCGTGTAGCGTGGCGCGGTTGCAGCGCTGTTTCGTTGTTTTTGACATTTCCTTAATAAATACCTTATCGTGGTCTGTCAGGGGCGTCTTGTGGGCCTTGGTGGCCTTTCCGGGGACTCAAGTGGACCCCTCTGCGGGCATATTGTGACGATGCATGTGCAGCTCCGACCGCCCAAACCTGGCCTCGTCCTTCTGATCCTGCTCCTGCCCCCTGTCTTGCCCTCATGCAGCAGGAGGGCGGATTGCCCTGGACGAAACCCGCCCCAGCAGCCATGGGAATCTCAAACGCACTTAGTCTTTCTCGTCGTCCTCGTCCTCCCTCCTAATCCTGCTCCCGCCTTTCACCTCCCCTCCAGACTGGATGAATGTGAGTGGATCTCCCGCCTTTCGCCCGAAGGATAGATGTTGGCGAGATGGAATACTATCTGGGGGCAGGTTGAGATCGAGTCAGCTCTCCCAAGCCTAGTTGATCGTGGTTTCGTCGGAACCGTTATAGGGGTGTTTTGTCCGATCGTCATCGCCACCTCAAGACATTCGGCTCTCCGATGTGTCCGATACGAGGGGCCCCAGGCCTTTCGATTCTCTGCCAGGGATTCGTTTTGCATGCCCGTAGTTTTTCGGCAGCCTCCACGCCCCAATCCTGCCTCCAGGGGCAAAACATGATGAACAACCGACCGTGTCGTTTTTGTCCGAGCTGCCCCAGAGATCTCAGGACCAGCAGACAACTTTTTGGCACCAGAGGCCCGAGTCGGGCTATCTGACGGGAATTTTATGTCTGGACGGTTCTGCCCTTTCCCCTGAATCCAGGATCGTGTCCAGGGTTGGGTGGTCCGTCGTCATGTGTGAGCGTTTTGGCAGGCTGGCCGCTGCGTATGGCCCAGTGCCACTGGACCACGGGCCGTTCCAGTCGTCTCAGGAGGCCGAGGACTATGTTGTGAGCATGCTCAGCTAAGTGGCAATGCCTCCGTTCGATTTGTTTATCGACTAAAGGCACGGTCTCGACGCTCTGGGGTGGTCCTGGAGCGGGAGCGAGTGCTGATAATCCTCGGGCCCACATGTGGGTTCCTTGTTGGGTGGCCTTGGAGCCCAACGATTTCACAGCCCACAAAACTAAAGCCCATGGCAGCATGGTGGATGTGAAGAACGATCGCACCACCTTGTGGGAGAAGCATGACAACGATGCCGCCGACGAATTTGCGAAGCGATGTGCCGCCCTCCACGGAGTGGAGGAGAGCGAGTACCACCTCTGGCGTGACCTTGTCGAGGCTTCTAGGGAGGTGGGTCCGTGGAGTGGGCGTTCGCACGGTTTGGTGGGGGATGGTAAGGTTTGCCAGGATCACGACGATCTAATGTAGCCGTACTTGGTCAGCCGAGAGCTGGAGGAGGCCCCGCCAGAAGAGCTTGGGGACCTGCCAGGCCAGGTGGGCAGGCTCAGGAGTTGGAGCGAGCTGTGCCCCCCCCCCTGGCTGCCCCAGCAGACGGCTTCGACGAGTACCGCGACATAGGGTACATTTTTAACTGCCGCCCGCTTCTTCACGCCACAGTGTGCGCCAGATCGGGTCGGGACGATGGCAAGGCCAGCTATTTTTGCTGTGTGTTGCGGAGCTCATTTCAGTGCCGAGCGTCCGTCGATGGCCCTCATCCAGCCGTGTCTCCGTGAGCACGCGGTTTCGGGCTTGAAGTACCAGCTGGCACTGATCAAGGCAGGCAAGTACCCCTCGTACAAGGCGGGTATGAAGGACCTCCGCCTCAACACCCCAGTCGGCTTCCCGTCAGCAGTGCGCGTGCGAATGGCGTTGCTGTTCAGCTCTGGTGAGCCTGCCCCCGGCGCCTCGGCTCAGGACGTGGGGGGAGGTGGGCTGCGTGGGGGGAGCGCCTCTGGGGGGATGACGTCACGAGCCGAGGTGCTGTTGGCTTTTGGCTTTCGGGAGTCCGACCTGGCGGCCACCCGTGCCGAAGGGGCCAGACTCCTGCGGAAGGAGGCCGAGCATGGGCCCGACGAGGCCCATGATTGGGAATTCGAGGAGGCCTCGGATGCCTCCAGTGGCGGGCGATTGGCGCCCGAACGCACCTGGCTTCAGGCCGCTTGCTCATCTTATTTCACCTCCTCCTCCATTTCTCATTATAAATAACTCGTCCCTGTCGCACCCCGAGGCAGGTCGGATTGGCGGGCCAGGCGTTTCGCTTAAGATTTCCTCACCATGTATGATCTTGAAGCTTAATTTGGGGACAGCTTCGCAGATGGAGGGCGGGCTGCTTCCAAAAGGTGGCTCGCGCCCTAGCGCCACTCACAGTTGTTTTGAAACGTTGCAAGAGCTTCGCGGATTGAGGGCGGGCCGCTTCCAAAATGTGGCTCTCGCTTAGGTGTTGCGCACATTGTCTTAAACAAATACTGTTGCTTTGTGGAGTAATGGCGGGTCGGTTTCAAAATGTGGTGTTCGCTTTAGCGCCTGGCACATTCGATTAAGCACTTGCAACAGCTTCACGGGTTGAGGGCGGGTCTTTTTCAACATGTGATTCTCGCTTTAGCGCGCGCCGCGCAGACTCGTTCTTAAGCAATACAAGAATATCACGGATTGAAATCGTTATGTTCCGAATTGTGTATCTCGTTTTAGCGCTGGTAACTCGATGTTTCCCCAACATGCAAGAGTTCACGGGCTTGCATGGCTAACATACCTGACATGGTGTTTAAATCGATTCAGCGTTCTCAATTAGCAACAGTTGCGTTGATTCGCGGTGTTGCAGTCCTAGATTCCGAATCGTCAAAACGCAACCGTCAGGTTGATTCGTGGCGTTGGAGTCCCGAGATTCGTGTTTCGGCACGCTTCAGGATCTTCACACGGTAGTCTCCCCAAGGGGCACTTCCCCCAGTGGAAATGAATCCTTGCAGGGGCCTATGGAGATGGAGGTTGGAGGGAGGGTTTATTCCTACATCGTTGACGATCTTGGGTTTACCCAGTCGTCGTCCTCCTCCTCTTTGTCATCATCATTCGCACCACCACCATATCTTCATTATGATCATTACCACCATCAGCATCAGCATCAGCATCATCAGCATCAGCATCAGCATCATCATCATCATCATCCTCATCATCATCAGTAGCATCATCAGTAGCATCATCAGCAACATCCTCACCATCCTTACCGTCCTCACCATCACCATCTCCATCACCATAACCAACCATCATTCCATCAACAACATCAACATCATCGTCGACATCAACTCCACCATCCTCCTCGTCCCACTCGGCCCCGTCAACCAGTGGTTGAGGCACTACTACCCGCCCACGCGGATACGGTGGCTCTCCTCAGGCGGCGGCCCGCGCTCCCTCGGCGAGTGTTCGTGCGGCAGGGAATGGAGTCGGGTTGGGGCCGGGGTAAATCGTCCCCGAGCGTGCGGGAAAGCTCTCAGAGCGTTCCAGCGCGCTCTGGAACGCCCGCGGTTCCCGATACATCCTCCATACCCGTTGTAATTTCAGAAATCTCCGATTTGTCCTGGTCCGATTTTGTCTCAGTCCTGGCGTCGTCTCAGAGAACGGGGCAACCAGCGTCAATACATTCGTGACCACGTGCCGTTGCCCTTCCGTAGTGCTCGAATTAGAGGGCCGAGACTGAGGTCTCTTCTCAACCGCGAGATTTGGGGCCCACGTCGGGCCCCGGGGCAAATCCATCCAGGAAGACCCAGCAAGGATGGGCCCCAGGAGGGGTCAAGGGACGCGTTTTGGGCGGATGTTGGTCAGCATTTTGCTACGGAATCCTGGTCAGGATGCTTTCGGGGAGAGGTTCAGGAAGTTACAGGGCCAGTATTTCTTCGGTTCTCCACCCGCGGGTCCAATCGACGCTGGGGTATCGGGCATTCCCACTGGGTCCTCTATTGGTTGCACATCCTTTGAATTCTGACCCCCGCCGATGTTTCTGATATCTGACGTGCAGGAATCGGGCTAAGATGTGGTTGCCAGGAGGCAGTGCGATTAGGGCGGCCTTCTCAGAAGGCAGTGGTCTTCCTCAGACTGAAGCGCCGATTCATGATGGGGAAGACCTCTGCGAGGGACCGATGCGGGATCGGTCGGTCCCTTCCCAAGGGCTTCACAACAGCTGCCTCAGAAGGTAGGGCGGCCTCCGAGAGGCGAGATGCCATGCCGGAAGGCCGTTCCACACGCTTCTCGCCCCCACCCCCTTCCTCCTGCGCGCCGCTGGGGAGGAGACGTGGCGTGGAGGTGGTGGAGCAACAGATTTGGCTCTGAATGGGCTCGTCGTCGCGGGGTGTTCCATCCGGGCCCCAGCGGGTCAGATGTCGGGTCGCGTCCGTCACCCGTGCTGCGGCGGTCTGGCGGGCCTTCGGAAGTTGGCGGAGGCCACCCAAAGTTTTGGAAGCTCCAAACCAATGCAGCGACCACAATGGTGAGCCAGTGGGGAGTTGGGGTGACCGCACTGTTTTGGGACTTGGGTCGTTATCCGATGATGTCTCGGGCGACTGGGGCCTCCGAGGTCCCAAATCCGAGCGGTGACGGCAGTGCGGTGAGGTCTTCGGGGCTTCCGAAGTCACCGCACGATTTGTCGCCGCACCGTCCTGGGACCCCGAGCGAATTGGTCAAATACGCCCAGACGCCTCCATTCACGGACCGCCTTCTTCCTCCTCCTCCGCCCCCCCTCCGCTCAATCATCGGTTCCCAGATCATTCCAGGGGTGTCTGTTGGCCAGAAGTTTGAAAAGGGAGCCCAGCCGTGGCGAAGAGAGACCCCCCCAGCGGTCCAAAGAGTCCCAGGAGAGGGCAAGCAATGTTAAGCAACATGGATCCTCGAGCCTCATTCTTCACCCTTGACTCTGGCGACTCACATATGTTACCGTGCCCATACATGTTTGTTCGTGGCTGTTGCCTCGAGGTAATGAGCTCGGCGGCTCAATTCAGGCGCGCAGCACTATCTGTCCGCCTACTGGATCAACAGGTGTCCATCCTCACTGGTTTGATTTCCCAGCCGTGCAGCACACTGAGACCAGCCGAGAGGAGCTGCACAGGAGTATGTTCCCCCCGCTCCCTCCCAGCTCGTTCCGCAGGCTCCAGGACCGCCACCTCCAGCAGCGCCTCCGCGGGCGCCGCTGCCGTCGTCGCCGTCGCCGTCGTCCTCGTGATCGTATTCGTCGTCCTCGTGGTTGTCGTCGCCGTCGTCGAGGATCGAGGATCGAGCTTCTAGGGCGTTTGTTATGTTGTTTGGTCCGCTAGCTAGGCTTGCCCAGAGGGCTTTTCCTGCTTACTGTATGCTCTCACACGGTGCAGGCGCCCCAGGGCGGTGCCCTTCCGAGAGTTTTCATTGGGTTTTTTGTGCGTGCCCGCGCGCTTGTGGCGCACATCTCGTGACCAGCGTAGCTACCAAAAAACTCGCTCCAAGCGTGCCCGCTCGCGGGCACCGTACGTCGCGTGGGCCAGCGTTGTCGCAAGGACGGAAGAACACTTCAAGCATGCCCGCTCGACTGCAGCGCACATCGCGATGCCGGCGTTGCGGCCACGAGGCGTGTCATGGGAGCGTGCAAAACGCGTGCCCGCTCGCTCCTGGCAGCCGTCGTGTTGCCGCTGTTGCGGGGAAAGAGGCCAGGGAACTCATTTCGAGCATGCCCATGGGTTCCCCGCGTACATCGTGCGACCATGGTTGTTCCCTAGTCAGCTTATCTGGGGGTTTGTACTGATTGTTCAAGAGGTTCTGTTCCGCGGACCGCCCGCAGAGGAGATGCGCGGCTTCCGATGTCGTGTATGTTATTAGCGGTTTCATGTCGTGGTTCTTGCGTGCAGTTGTTGTTGATTGACCGCCTCTGCCTCCGCTTTCTTGCGGGGCTTCTTGGAGGCCTCTCGGAGGCCTCTGGGGCGGTCCCGTGGGAGCCTTGTCGAAGGTCCTTGGAGCTTTTTGAAGCCCTCTGGGGGCTTCTGCGGGGCCCCCGCTTGAGGTTCTTCATCAGGGTAACAAGCCAGACCTGGGGAAGGGGTCCAGAGCTCTAAGGGTCCACCTGACGTCGGAGTTTTGGGCCGTCTTCGAGATCCCATGGCCTGGGGCCGTCTTAAAACGACAGAGGCTGAAACGTTGGTCCCGAGGGAAGGCCCTGGGAATCCATAGCCCGTGGGAGGATTCGTATCAATGACACGCGCATCGTCTCTGAACTTGTTCGTGTTGCATTTTCGTTCAGTGTACAAAGCTAGACACGTCTGCAGCAGAGCACGCTGATGGTGTTGCCCGACCAGCGTGACATTGATACTGTTTTGATCCCCCAGCTCCCTCCATGGACCTCTTTTTCCCATGGCACAGGGAGAGGCTCTGGCAGCGGCGGCAGCAGCGTCGGCGCGGGCAGCAGCCACGGCAGCACGAGAGTCTAGAGGACGAGGATAGGGGGGGAATGCCGAGCTTCTGCCGCCAGTCGCCGCATTTGTTTTTTCGAGAAAGTTCGATGCACAGCTAGGGTGAAAATGCTCAGGAGGGGACGCACCGATCACCAAATCACCAGTTCATCGCCGATAGGGGCCCACTAGCCCACCCGCGGATCCGCTATCGGGGGCCTATCGGCGATGTATTCCCGATGACAGGTCGATGTGATGTTCTAGACGCTTCGCGTAACCCCACCGGTTTAGGGGCTGTCATGGCACCTGGATTGCATCGTCTTCCCTGGACGCTGTCGTGAGCCGCCTGATCCGCGGCCCTGCGCGCGTTAGGTAATTTAGTCGCGTCCGCGGCCCGTTCGCGACCTTCCGCCGCTGGCGCTTCCGCCTGCGGCTGTAAAAAAAAAAACCCACCGGCCCATCCAGAAACGATGCCCGGAGGAATTGTCTCGATCACAGAAGTGGGCAGCACGCAAGGGAGCCTTTTGGAGAGTCTTGGGGGCCTCTTGGCGGACACGGAGGCCTCTTGGAGGGTCGTGGGTGCTTCGGGGAGCTGTTTGGGGCCTCTTGGGGGTCTCTTGGGAGCCTTTTGGAGGCCTCTTGGGTGCCTCTTGGGTTGGGACCTCCTGGGGCCTTCTGGGCGCCTCTTGGGGCCCTCTTGAAGCGCTCTCGGGAGCCTTGGGAGCGCTCTTGGGGCCATCTTGGAGGACATCGATCAAACAAGAGGTAATTAGCGTACCCCCACCAGGAAGCCAACATGGAGCCAAAACCTTGATAAACCAATGATTTAGGCTTCCTCGCAGAGGCTGTTTTGGACGCTCCAACGTGTCGCGGCCCCCCCGTCCAGGTCCAGGGGAGGGGTGAACCCCTCCCCGAAGGGGTAGAAAGGGGGCTGGACGAGGAAGCTCCCTAGGCCACCCACGCCCAGAGGGCTGGTGGGATTCCCCCCAGAGGGCTGGTGGGATTCCTCGCTTTCCATGCAGAAGCGCAAACATGGATCAATACGCGTAGATTGGCGAAGGGTCCCGCTTCCATGCAAAGATCGGCGTGCGCCGTCACGGAGTCAGGCGAGATTGGCCACATGGTTTCGGGGAGAATAAATTTGCATCCGCGTCAATGTGCCAGATCCATGGATATGTAGTCCATGTTGGCGTGAACCTGACATGTTCCTCCGTGCAGGGCACCTCGTTTCGCAGCCTCTTGCAAGGCCGCCGTTCCCCGTGTTGTCCCCCCTAACTTCTGCCCCAAAGTTGGGATGGCGGCTGTTCTGCCGAGCCAGCTGCCCTCAAGCGATCAAGAACTGAACAGGGGTGAGTCGCAACGCCCCCCAGTCATCTGCCTTTCTTGCGAAGTGTATTGTTTTCGCATTGGTTCAATGGGGGTACACCTCTCCTGGCCACCAGAGGCCGTTGACGGAGGAAGCGGAGGAGGGAACCTCCAGGAATCCAGCGCCCCCACTTGTTCGGCCCTTTCTTTATCCGGCTGCACGTGATAGTGACACTTCGCTGGAATGAGCTTTGGTGCGCAGATTTCGTGGTGCGCGACGGGGGAGGGGGGGGGAGGGCAAACCCAAGACACGCAGTCGCCACTGTCGCACATCATGCAGCGATAGGCAAGCCACCAGCGAGAGGTCACTTTTTGCCCAGGGTCGGTCAGTCTTGCTTATTCAATACTGTCTATCGTGATCTGTCCGCGATGCGAGGGGCGCGTGTCGGGTCGGACGAAATGGGGGCGGATGGACAACGGGGGTCACGAAGTTTTTGCATGCAGATGGTCCTGGCCCCGCCGCCAGGCGCTTTCCTCGATACATGGGTGTCGAGAAAACCAGCTGCGCATGCTGAGTCGCCAATCCCTGTTTGTTATCTCCCCTTCCATCCGTCCTGGGCCAGGGGTCCCGAGGGAAACACACGCACTCAGCCTTTGGGTGTTCTTCGGGGGCCCTCCACGTACCTCCACGTGGTTCTGGGGCCGTCAGAAACGATTCGGAAAGAAGAGTGCGTCCTGGGAAAAAGCCCTTGGGGTCCAGGACCACGGTATACACACATACATCAATGCTGGGGAGGTCCGCGCAGATCTATTGCATCGGCGTTGGGTCCCCCGTCTGGCGTGCGAAGAGCGCCAGGGGCAGCGCCGCAGGCGCTGCGAGGCTGGTCCATCGCCGATCCAAGAAGTCCGCGCGGGCTTCCGACAGCGTATGTCTACCGAGCGACGCGCGGCGGCGGCGGGGAGTTGCTTCCTGGTCCCTGCTCGTCGAGCGACGCGCGACTGCTGCTTCCTGCTCCCTGATCTGTGCCGCTTCCTGCTCGTCGAGCGACGCGAGGCGGCGGCGGGGAGCTGCTCGCCACCTCCGGGGACTGCGTCCGCATCTGGAGGCCGCGGGCGCCCCGCGCGGTGGGCACTCGCCGCCCGCCGCGGCCGCCCGTCTCGTCGTCGTCGGCCGCCGCCGCCGCGTCGTTGGCTGCGCGCACGACCCGGAGCTCCTCGTGTCGTGGAAAGGAGACACCCTTGGTGGCAGAAGGCGCTCGGCGCTTTTTACAGCGCCAGGGAGAGAGAGACCCCCCCAAAAAAAGAGGGAGAGCGATGCAACGAGCAAATCTATATCTACTGTACTTGGGTGCCCTGTACGGTAGCAGACTGGGGCTATCATGGGCTGTATGACAATACGTTTACTATGTGATACGGGAGAGAAGCCCCAATCATAATCTTTTTAGGGCTATAGGGCTATGGGGCTATAGTGCTATGGGGCCATAGGGCTATGGGGCTATTGGGCTATTGGGCTATAGGGCTATGGGGCTATAGGGCTATGAGGCTATAGGGCTATAGGGCTAGAAGGCACCCAGGCACCCGGGCAATCGGCGGCGAACCTCACCCAGGCACCCGGGCACCTGGTAAGTCGGCGGCGAACCTCACATAACCTTCTGAATCCGCTAGGACCCCTACAGAGGCAAGCTCTGATTGGGGAACAATACGGCATGGCGGTGCACGATACGTTATACACTGTGATGAAACCTAGTGCACTCACTGTGTTCGAATATATCACATCACGCATAATTGCCATACTCCTTTCATGATAGTTGTTGTCCATCATGGGCCGCGCTGGCCGTCTCCGACTGGGGCATTCTCCCATGCGTTCATATGTTTTATGACCCCACGCCCATCTGATTATTGAAGTAACCCCATTCGGTCCGCAACCTTGTCCGGCCACGGCTTGATCCCATGCAACAGTCATATGCGGTGTGCATGACTTGATATACGTTGCGAACCCCAGGCAACATACATACCATTTGTTATGTGTACCACATGCTCATGTTCGCGCGCGCTAGTCAAATCATGCAACATCATGGTGTTGCTAAGCATGCTTGCATCTGGGCCTTCGAGACATCGGAATCAGCGATATACCTTCGACAAGCCATACACATAGTGTCAGTTGTTCTGCGCGAGTGGTAATGGCCATGGACGCCAGCATCGGTATGGGTGCATGAACTCATCAGTTTGATCGAGATGCTCGCATGAATTCAACTTTTTGTGGATGGACCCCTGTTTTCGGCTTCATTGACGGGGCCCCTCGCCTGAGGCGGGGGTCTCGACGGCAACTCAATTCATCAGTCATGCGTGCGGAGCGAAACTCCTTTTGAGGGGTCCCTGCATGCTCTTGTGGGATGTGAGATCTTTTTTCGATGCTCCTTTGGCGCCCCAATAAATCTACGCACTTGATCGTGCCATTGCGGTGGTGCACCTGGTTGCCGCTGCAGGCTGTTTCTGTCGAGGGTTTTGCTGTCGCTGGCGTGCTGGCTTGGGACGCCTTCTCTTTCCTCCCCCAGCCCCGACGGAGGACAGGAGGAGGAGAAGGAGGAGAAGGAGGAGGAGACAGGAGGAGGAGGAGGAGGAGGAGGAGAGGGATAATGTTGAAGAGGAATGCCCCAGGAGGCTCCGGGAGGCCCCCGAAGGCCCTAGGAGGCCCCGGGAGGCAGCGGAAGGCCCTAGGGGGTCCGGGGGCCCAAGGAGGTAACAGGAGGCCCAAGGAGGCAGCAGGTAGAGGCCAGAGGAGGAGGGGACAGGCTGATGATGAGGCGGGGGTGGGAGTCATTTTTGTCGTTGGTTCCGATATGTCCTCGAGTCCTTACAAGGGACTGGCTTCTCCAGGGCAGCCTCTCGTACAATGGCCTGTCGCGGGCGTCACCAGGGGAGCCTCTCGACGGCCTCAGGCGACAAAACGTCTTCGACTTCTTAATCGTTATTCATGTTTGTTTTCTCAAGTCGGTGGAGGCACTGGTGCCGGATCCCTCCGAGTGTCCGTCCTGGGCATTTCGAAGTGTCCACGGCGACGAGAACTTTGCAGAAAGGCGCCCGACAAGCCCCGAGGCCACCACGGACGGTGCCAACATCTCGACGGTTCGCAGCGCCCTATGACGAGCATTTGTACCCGATCTTCTGCTCAGAAAGTCATTCCACTGACCTGTCCAGCGGCGCTTTCTGCACAGAAATTTCGATGCGGATCCGCCCGCTGCCGCCGCCGTCGCCGTCGTCGAGCACGTCGACTTCGACGCCGTCGTCGACGTCGACATCGCCATCGTCGCTCCTCCCCCGACCGCTGCAGCTCCAGCGGCGAGCTGCGGCGGCTGCTGCGGCACGAGGCGGGGCGGCCCCACTGCCGCCGCCCTCGGAGCTGCCGCCACCACCTTCGTCGCCGCCGTCTCTGTCGCCATCGGCGCAGCCGTCGCCGCCGACGTCGTCGTCGTCGTCGCTACGGCCGCCGCGGTCAGGAGCATAAAGCGGCAGCGGGGTCTTTTGGAAGTCAGTCGGGAACGTCTGTCTCCTGGGCCTCGTCGCCGCAACCATTGTCCTTGTGGCAGCCGCCGTCGTCGCCGTGGTCGGAGTAGGAGGGAGGAGGAGGAGGAGGAGGAGGAGGAGGAGACCTTCTTGACCTTGCCGACGCGCCTGATAGCCGTCGTCGTCATACAGTCGCTTCCACTGTTCATTGGTCCGAAAGATACCCGTACCCGGGGCCAGCCAAGGTGCGATGGGCCGTCCGGGGGACTGGGCGCTTGCTACTGTGCCCGGTCAGCTTGCCCCGCGCGCGCCAGTGCAGCATCCGCGCGTCAAGACGCAACAGCGCGCTCGATGGTTGGGTGTCTGATTGCAGCGACAAGTGCTGGTTTTTGTTGGGGACGTCTCGGGGCATCGTGGTGCGTGCGCGGTTCAAAGCCGCCCATATGTGGCGGCGCCTGTCCCAATCGATAAGGAGTTGCACTTCTTCGCTATCCTGGCAACCAATGCGTCTGGGCCTGCACTGGGGAACGACGTTGCAATGTCGCGCCCCCAGGGGGCCGCAGCGGCCACGTCGGGGACGGCTGTGGAGGGCTTGATATGTGTTCGACAGCGTTTTGGGCCTGACCTCGGCTAGGTACGGGGACCTGCCTGAAACCACCGAAACATACCCGGACCTAGCTGGGGTGAGCTGCGGCACCCCGGCTAGGTACGGGTATGTTTTTGTTGGTTGTCATGGGGCAGCCGTACCTAGCTGGGGTGATCCGCAGACGGCCGTCCAAGGGGGGCGGCTTCTGGGGACCTCGCCCAGGGCACAAATTCGCGATGTCTCTGCATCGAGCAATTCGCGATAGGGCGGTTGTCGCGCAATGACGTTCGCGCCAGAGTTGTTCGCATGCGTCCCCGAGTGCGCGTTGACTCCTCAACGCCCGGATGTGCGTCTGGGGGCGCGCCTCCGCAGTAGCTGGTCTACATCGACAACAACCAACGCAGGGTCGGGCACTCCGCCGATCCGAATGCACGTGCGATTGGTGCTAACGTGCGCCCCGAGAAGACAGCGGTCTGTAATGCTCGATCGGCTGTCGTTTCTACACTTGTGCAGCCGCCGTCAGATGCGACGAACCGCCCCCCCGGCCCCTTGCCACCCTGTCTATGTAAGGGTACGGGTATCTTTCGCGCTCGAGAAATGTTGTCCATGGTGTTCGTCTCGGTTTTGGCCTCGGCCGGAGCGAACATGTCGGAATCGATATCCATGGGATCCGATGAGACCTCCTCGTACCTCGCGGCCGCCGTCTTTGGATCAGGCGACAGGGCCCACCGCGTCGTGGCACTCGGGCTTGACGGATTGAGGTCGATCTTCTTCATGATATTCGCCAGTACCCTAATCTGCCACATGAGGTAGGCCACGGAGATCGTTAGAAAGGCGAGGACAGCAAGTAGTATCAGGATTACGTAGTCTGTGTCACGATCGTCTGGCAAATTGGCAGCCATTGCTGCGGAAGGTTTCGCACAGGACGCCAGGGCCAGCAGCCTGGACGCTAACGCCGTCGTTGATATCCATGACCTTGTCGTGCACGTAGTGGTCTTCGAGGTCGTCACCGATGGAGTCGTAGTCGTCCTGCGTGTGGTCCTTGCCAACAGGATCGGATTCGGTGCTTGCTGCTGCCGCTTCTTCATGGGCGGCGGTATGTCACTTCTTCGAGCCAAAGAAAGCCAGGAGCAACGCCGCCGACGCAAACACCTCTGTGAGACAATCCACCACCATAGCTTCCGTGTGTGTCCAGATCAGGATGGTGTTCCTGGACGGTTCGACGCACTGGCGAAACATGACCACCACGATCTGGAGCCTCCTTATCTACACATGACCCGTTTTTTCGGTTTACCGTGATCTTGAGGTTGCCGCGCTGTCCGTGACCACGACCAGCTTCCGCCTCGCCGATTGTACTTCGACGTCCTTCAGCTTGACGTCGCCGTCGGAGTAGAGCTCACACAGGAACTGCCTCAATAATTGGCCGTGCACCATCGCTTCGCTGATGTTGTATGTTTCGGCCGCCAGCGTGGACAACACCACGCGTTTGACCCGAAAGCTGGCCCAGACCAGCAGCATCGGCTTGTCGCAACTTCCGGGGATCATGTTCCTCGGGTCGTTCGTCAGGCATCACACTGCGCCTGCGTGGCTCTTCTCGCCCTCGACATTGGCAACAGAGGAGTTTCCGTAGGCCAAGACCGTCGTGTCCTTGAGTTTCACCGCGCCCCTCCTGAAGTAGAGGGCGTGTTCGATCGTGTCTTGGACGTACTGCACGAGCTTTTTGGTGGAGATCAGGTCTGCCACAGTGATCTGAGCCAGCCGATTCTGCTCGAAGGCGATGTCCAACCTCCAGCGGTGGGTGAGCCACTGCAGCTGCCCGCTGGTGCTCCTGAAAGCGATCAGCTCCTTTGGGGTGACCAGCTGCTCGGCCGACTTCTTCCGAATCGCACTTATGTCGATGTTCTTCACTGCCTTCACAGCCTTCACCTGGGATAACTCGACCCCTTTGACGCCGATGTCGATCTGCACGCCACAGTATTCGAAGAAGGTGTCGCGCTTCACCAGGTAAAGGTACTTGCTTTGGTCCTCCAGGATTCGGTCCGGAGGAGGAGGGGAGGAGCAGGAGGAGGAGGAGGAGGTGGAGCAGGAGCAGGAGCAGGAGCAGGAGCAGGAGCAGGAGCAGGAGCAGGAGCAGGAGGAGGACCAGGAGGAGGAGGAGGAGGAGGAGGAGGAGGAGGAGAAGGAGGAGGAGCAGGAGGAGCAGGAGGAGCAGGAGGAGCAGGAGCAGGAGCAGGAGCAGCAGCAGCAGGAGCAGGAGGAGCAGGAGCAGGAGCAGGAGCAGGAGCAGGAACAGGAGCAGGAGCAGGAGCAGCAGCAGTAGCAGGAGCAGGAGCAGGAGGAAGAGGAGGAGGAGGAGGAGGAGGAGGAGGAGGAGGAGGAGTTTGTGGAGGAGGAGGAGGAGGAGGAGGAGGAGGAGGATGTGTCAGAACATGGCCAGGCGACTGGGTGGGCAATGCGGCTAAGGATTTCCAGTGGTGTATGCTAGTTGTGTGCCGCATTTGTTTGTCTGAAGTGATACTTGCCTTCTCAGCACCAGATTCCTTCCTGATTCTTCCTATCAGCGGAGCCCGTGGTTTGTCCCGCGGCCGCGGCTTCCAGAGCAGAAATGGCAGCGGTAGCTGTTGCATCGACCCCAGTAGGCCCCGGCAACACGACCCAGCTTACAAACCTGAAGTGCGCGAAGCTTGGAAAACTCTAGGCACAAGCCGATTCGCAGAATTGTGCAGCGCCGGTTGCGAGATCGGAGATTCCAGGTGTGTTACCACCGCGATTCAAGCCAACCGAGAAAGGACGATAGTACTCTTCGAGCGCAGCGCCACGCTTGGTACCCAGACGGTTGACGATGATGAGGCCAGCACGGTGTTACACATGAATTATAAGATGAGCGTTTGTTTTACCAGCTAGCAGCCGCAATATTTATTGTGAGGAACAGCTCAACAATATGAGGGGCGCGTTAAGGCATAATTCCAACGCAGAGCGACAGCCTCGGAACATGTTACCATGATCGCCCAAACTATAACTTGTGTTGGAAGCACGAGGTCCCGAGGAGACGGACACAAACCAGTTTGCAAGTACAGCGCCGCTCGACAAGGAAAGGTGCTCTCGGGTGCCCGGCCAAGCTCAGGAAGTTCAACGAGCAGTTGTTGCACGCGTTCGCCCAAGTGACGCACGGTTATCGCAACGCCCCGACATATTTGAGTAGCAAACTTGAATTTATGAATGCGGCGTTACCTGATACCCTGAGCGAGTGCACCGACACGTCGCTAACCAAGACAGAAGAAAACATCGCTGAATGATAACATGAGCCCGATGCAGACGACTACGCAGAGTTGGACGAGAACTTTTTGTGCTTGCTCAGTGACAAAGTGGACGGAACTGAGCTAAGGGCAAAATTCAAGGGCTTGCAAAACAGAGATGGACCAACAAATTACCGGTTTTCCATAGTCTCAATATCGAGAACGCCGGCGGCGCATCACAGGCCGCCCCCTGGGAGTTTGACGCATCTGGTCGTCATTTTCTTGGAGGCAGTTTTGAAGCCCCTTTGGGGGCTTGAGGGCGCCGTTTGGGAGCCTCTTGGGGCCTCTGTTGGGCCTCTTGGAGGCTTTTTGGAAGCCTGCTGGCGGTCTGGGAGGTCCCGCTCGGCCCGAAAATTTGGCATGTAACTTCGAGCTCTGGCTCTAGGGCCCTCTTGGGACCGTCATGGGCCGTCTTCGGCGCGTCTTGGGCCTTTTTGGAGCCGTCTTGGTACGTCTCGGGGCCCTCTTCAGGGTCTGGGGCGATTTGGGGGCGATCTTGGGGGTTCGTCGGCTCGTCGTGGACGTTCAGAATCCCAAACATCGTACAGACTAGAGGTATACTTTTACTTACAGGTATACTTTTACTTACCTAACAGCGTAGACTGATAGGTTTCTAGTTGACTCAAAAGAGCTCACAGATCACTCCACAGGGGGGTCCGGGCAGGCGTTGGGAGTTGCCGGCCGGGCCTGTGCCGGGCTCGTTTTTCACCAACAGTCACACACTTCGTGCTCGTCGACCTCTCAGAACCCCATTCCCAGGCCACATTCTGAATAACCGGATGCAACAGTCACACACTTCGTGCTCTTCGACTTCCCAGAACTCCATTCCCGGGCCACATTTTGGATGCCCGGAGCCAACTGTAGGCCACTTCGTGCTCTTCGATTCCCAGAACTCCATTCCCGGGCCACATTTTGGATGCCCGGAGCCAACTGTAGGCCACTTCGTGGTCTTCGAGTTCCCAGAACTCCATTCCCGGGCCAC